CATAAGCACTCTTAATGAAGTGTTCAACATAGTGAATAAAAAATTTTAAGGATTTTTTAGGGTTTCGAAATTGTTTTTATAATCAACTAAAAGTTAAAGTCCTACGTTGAGTATTGGTATCACATCGGACTGTTGGTCAATTGGACTGACTGCCATTATAACTAAGAGGTATGTTGTGTAGAGTATCATAAGCTTGTGAAAACCTGAATTGTTGTAGTTTTCATTGCAAATTATGAAAAGAGGAGGAGAAAAAACAATATGTCGTTTCCATTTTAGTTATGAGAGCCGAGGTTATCTGTGTCTCATCGCTTAGGGAAGGTAGTATTATTCAGAAATAAATGTAAACATTTGTGTCTTTTTTTGTGTCTGATATATATTACTCATTGTATTAAAAATCGTTTAAGTGTATATCTTTAAGTTTATATATTCATAGCTGCAGTCTTAGTTTTGTGCATCTAAACTTCAATTTTCTTACTAAAATTTGAAAATTTAAAGGTCTCGGATTGCACACTTCACATCAAGCTAAAGGAATACAATGGAAAATGAAAGTAAAAAAAAAATGTGGAAAAAACTATAAAATATTTGAAATATAAAAAATTCCTGGAATTTAATGCAAATGCATGCAAAAATGCAATACAGCCATTGTTTACTCATGTAAATGTAAGAGAAAAATGCCGTGCTAACGAATATATAAAAAAGTTTTCATCTAAATTGTCTACATATTTTAAATTTTCTGTTATTTTTTTTTCAATTCTAAATTAAAATATTCAGCTTTGATAACGCTTAATTTAAGACTTAAAGAATGCTTAGTTAAAATTTTTTTTCTTTTGTTGGTGTTCTATGTTTAAGCTATAATAAATTAAAAGTGACGTTGATGTGGTACAAATTTGCAGGGCTAGCAATTAAATACATACAATTATATAGTCTGCTTAACTCGTAAAATCTTCCTCTCCTACGGCTACGTACTATGTACTATTAGTACCTATAACTATGCTGTTATACTATTTGTGTAGTATTTTATTCAAAAATATTCTTTAATGAGCTTCGTTCACTTAAAACTAAAAATAAAACCGCCATTCTTGCATTTTACAATACATTAATCCATATAGTGCGTTTGACCCAAATACTTCTTCATTCTCATATTATAATATATGATAATGGAAATGATCGTATTATTATTGGATATAGACATTTATCAATTTATGCATTCGGCACATATTGAAGTTCACTTGGAGTCCTTGTAAGCACCAGCCAGCCTAAATGCGACATTGCATATTACCACAGCAACAGTCTTCTTGATTTCTTCATTTCCAAAACCAGACGTTAAAGTTGTATTATCAAGTAGTTGTGTAATATATATCATTTCTTTCTAGTCAACATTAAGATTGTGCAGAATTTTTACAATTTATTGTGCACAATTAATATTAAAGATATTCTCTAGGCTTTAGTGTCAACTAACCTACGCTTATTGTACGCATGCTATTAATCAATTTTAGAAGTCTGAACTTCTTTCTGCGCCTTTAATTGAAAAGACGAGTCACATACAGGTCCATGGCAGTAATATAAAAATATTAGCTAGTGAGATCTGAAAAAATTACCTAAACGGATGCAAGATTTATTTAGGACGGAAGTTAAAGTAGCGGCAATGATACCATCAGCACATAATCACTTCGGCATCACTATGACATCAATAAACTTATAGAGAAATATTAAAAGCAACTGAGAGAATATATTTGGAATATTTATTTCTTGGGAATAAGAAAGTAATAGATTAACTTAATCTCTTACAAGATAATTAATGTGAATGAAGTTGACATACAAAAAGTAAAACGTTCTTGCACATTCAACACCAAATTAATTCTTTAATCAATGCGCAATTTACTACTTTGAGGAGTCATGAATTAATTTGAAGAAATCTATTCCTTATTGTCTGAGAAATGACATTTCTAAATTTTACATGGAATTATAAGGCAAAGCAAACAAATTAAGTGTAGGTAAAAGAGAGTTGAGTACACACATGCATAAAGATATTCATTTTATTGTAAGAAAATATCATGTATGTATGTATCCTTTTAAAACAAATATTTCAAAAATTCCTTATTGCTATGAAATGTCGAGATAGAAAGATACTTCCCTTACACAACTCCATATGGTTAGTTAAGATACTTATGTAAAATAGTTATAGATATTTTTTATTACGTTACTATTCTTCATTAATAACTTTTACAACTTTGTGAAGTTTGTGAAGAAGATGTAATATGTACGGCATTATAGTATACCTCTTAATTTTAACTATTCGAAAGATAATTTTCAGATAATTTATTTTGAACCTCAAGCTGAAGAAGTCGAAGAGTGAATAGCATATGCTGAAAATAGTATTTAGCTTCAATGTAAAAAACTTGTTAAAAATAATTATATACTAGTATATATGTACTCTTCTCTATCTATATATATATATAGATAGAGAATGTGGATGGAAAAATAACTTCCTTTAAAATATTGGAAGATATTCTGTTTAATTAATGTCTCAATAATATTTAAAGATATTCGGCAAAAAAAGAAATCAAAGCATTTAAAGTTCTGTATAAAAAATTTAGTGGCTGTTGACGTATGGAGTGGTTCTAACTGTTTAGTATCTAGTTATTAGGTAATACAGCGACAATATATGGAACTCCACGTTACGAAGTAACGTTAATGTAAGCAGTGATTTAAATCTATTTTTAACACAAATAGAGAGATGATAAATTGTCATAAAAATCTTACTATATTTATTGTTAGAATAGAGTAAGTTAAAGACGACTTTTAAAAGAGGCAAATCGGGGTATAAGTGTCAATTATCCCCCGCTTTGCATCACTCCAATTTGCGCTGATTCGAAATACGTCGCCAAAGAAAAACAAGTTTTGGATTCGAATTGCGTGGTTTTACATACATAACTACATACAGAAGGGATTCCCATTTCATTTCTTGTAGGTCACATTATTTAATAGGGAATTCAGTTTTTAGTTAATAGGTGTCAGTTTACATTTGTGTGGTGGAAAGGTAAATTGCTGCCTTATAAAGTATAAAAATGCATCAAAAGCGAAAATAAATTTCTTTAGAACAAACGTTAGACATTTTAAAATGTTTTTAATTAAAAGAAAAATCTGCTGACATTGGGAGATTTTGTGATTAGCTCCAACTACTGTAAGAACAATTTGTAATTTGGTGGGGACAAAGTGAAGAACTTTGGAAAAGCTGTCACTCATTTGTAGGCTAAACAAGTGACAAAAAATAGAAATCCATTATTTGTGAAAATGGAATTCCTTCTATCCATTTGGATGGAAAATCAGAATCAATGGAGAATGCCATTGTGCCACATGCTAATTCAGAATAAGGCTATAACCCGAATATTTTTGGATACCAAATATGTAGAGAAATGTAATTCGATTTGCATTGTTCCGATTTGCGTCACATTCTTTTCCATTTTTATGCTAAGAGCAGTTTCCAAAATAAAGTTTTATGCCTTTTACACATAATTTCCTAACAACGTTCTCCAGTACCTATAAGTAACAACATTATCTTAATCACTTTTGAATATATGCCCTCGTTATAGTGATGTTAGTGTTGACCTAAACTATCTCAGTAGTTAAGTATATTGATTCAAAATAAAAATGAAAATTCGTTTCAAAAATCAATTTCGAACCAAGATAAGTTGACTAATGTGATCAACAATTTATATATGCAGTTTAAAACGCGTTGCTATCTATCCACATGATACATAATAAAATAGACGAACCGCATTTTATAAAATTAAAAGTAAAATTTTAAACAATTTATATATTTTTGAATCAAATAAAAAAGTTTTATAAACGAAATTTATCTGATTGAAAAAATAATATATGTACATTGATAAAATGCAATCCCGTGTAAATATTTAAATATCTTCAATATAAAAAAATAAATATTCAGATTCATTATAGAAAGAGGAAAAAATCGATGACTTTGAAAGTTAAAATATTTAGAAAATTACATTTGCTTTCATAATCAAATATTTGAAAGATGACAAAAAGCTAGGAAATTTAATTTATTTTTATGAAGAATTTTTTAAGAAGTTTTATTTTTATAGCTAAAAGAAAATATTTTGCGAATATATGTTTATTAACGTAATTACTAAAATTCAGTAGTTTTTATGAATTACTCTATTTTCGGAACTCAACAAAGCAACAGAAATTTTTAAGTACTTATTTGTGGGTACAGGAAATGTTGAAACCCTTATTGAGAAATAACTAGGGATACAGGTGAGTAACATATGTAAAATTGAAAAATATGTGATATTTGGACACAAAACAATAAAAATTTACTTAAATTCACATTATATACTGGGTTAGGCGATTGAAGTGTTACCTATTTAACCGATCATAACATTTTTGTGTGAAACTGTTTTTTATTATTATTATTATGTGATCTTTCGGTATTTTGACATACTCCTAAACAAAAGCTTTCTTCAGCGCATTCATACTGGCATATGTTTTATTTCTCACCTTGCTCTACAAAATGGCCTACATAGACAAGTCTATCGAATTTGCATCTGGCGAATTCGAAAGCCATTGTGTGGACGAAGTGAAGTGTGAAACATGATTTTTTAACTATTATTGGTTCACAAGAGCTTTATGAGACGGTACTGAGTCTTGTCGGAACGTCCATAGTCCGCGACCGAAATGTTTGCATGCCTACGGCTCTAAAGTAACTTTCAAAACATTTTCCCGATAATAAGTTGCATTAACTTTGAAAGAACTGAAGGGCGTCCATTGGCGGTCACAGCTGCCCATACCATCACTTAAGATGGAAAACTACTTCAGGTGGCCACTCCTAGTCTCAAGTTCAGTGCGTTAAGGTAAGTAAACACGATCATTTTGAGAGTTCATCAACTGCTCAGTGGAGACATTTTTTTCATTAGAGAATATGACGTTTGGATATTCGTCACGTTCGTGCTCGTGCAAGCGTAACAACTTCTTCCTTGCACCTTCGAGTCTAACTTTTTGTTGCTTTGGTGTTTTACCATCATTTTGAAATATGCGTCTGATGCTTCACTGGGACATTTTCAGTTATTTGGCCATTTGATTATCACTGTGACGTAGAACTCGTTCCAGTCGAACTTCACTTTCCGAACCATTTTAAATGATGTTACTTTCCTCGTCCTCCACCTTAGTGTTTTGCGACAATTATTTGACATGTACAATTAATAATAATCTATTATAACAATCTATGGTACAATACATAAACATTTTATTTACTTTGTGGTTCTTGAGCACACGAACAGCACCTGGTTTTATCCTATAAAACTTAGGTCCAAATGTGTGTGGTAGCTTGTAAAGAATATAAACAGCTGTTATTCGTATGAATTTCAAGAAGCTGGCAATATTAGTTTGACAGATATACCTGTGTGTATTTATAATACTTCAATCGCCTAACCCTGTATTGTACTTATATTTATTATATTAAAACCAACACTATGATTTCATTTAATATAATGAAATCAAGACTATTATCGTGTGTTTAAGTGTCGTGCGAAAAAATATACCGCTTCAGCGAATATTTGGCTGGATAAGTGTTAGCCGAATTTTGTTCTATTGAAATCAAAATATTGGTTGGCATGAAGCGGGTACACCAGAAAACCTTGAAAAACTCAATAAAATTGTTTTAGAAAACCGTAAACTCAAGCCGCATGAGATATTTGACATTCAAAGCATTGCACAAAAAAGTTAAAAAGAATTATTTTACAATTGTCAATGTGAAAACTGCTTTCGAAATGGGAACGTCCAGTATTTGGATCCTCACATACCACAATTGTATGGTTTTTAAATCTAACATACGTTTAGAAATTTTTATGTCTCTAAATTTTCTCCAGGATCACACAGAGTTGATGTGATTTTCAGTATCATGATTAGAATCTTAATTTCGTTATGATAACTATTTTTGGGCGTTCAATTAAGACAATCTATCAATAATATATATCAAAAAATAAAAATGAAGCATTTTCCGCCAAAGGATGTTGACCATATAAATTCTACAAATGACCCACATGCTCACTTGAAATCCCTTTCTTATTTCCTTTCTGAAAGGCTAAAATACTTTCATGAGTCCTACTAATTATGGTAGCATACTAGTAATGTTGTGCTTTTCAAATAATCATATGAAGTTAGTTATTTTTGAGATTTGTGACAAAATATTAGAACTGAGTCCATCAATTTCTTTCCTCCTTTAAAAAAAATCTCTAATTTTTTCGTTCAGTTTTCATTTAATGAGTTTTAAACAGGTGTATGATTTATAATAGCATGAATATGACACCACATTCTTTCAAAATATCTCTTTTAAAATTATGCCAGCGTGCAGCAAATATTCCAAACCTACTAAGCGTACACCTACTGTTTATAAGATATAAGTACAGTAAGACCCCGTTTAAGGATCCCCGCGTAGGATACGATCCATCAAAATAGAGCGTAATGCAAAACAGCGCAAGAAGGCATCTATGGTAGTTTGCGTTTTCTTCTTGCGTTCTGTTAGAAGTTGTTGATAAGTGGATAAATCATCTACAACACACCGTCTTGATTCTCAACTCCTGTCAAAATTTGGAATATTTTCAACAAATTGGTCCATAATTTCAGGTATAGTGCTCAAACTCCCTTTTACAAACGTCATCGATAGTTCTTTTTGCTTTTCTTTAAAGTCACTATTATCAATATTTTTTTTTTTCTTCTAGCTCAGTTAATTTCTTGAGCTCATCATTAGAAAGACTAGCTGCTGTTTCTTGAACTATTTCTTCGACGTCTTCCACATTTATCTCATCAAAACAGGTTTGTTTCGCTAATTTCATTATTTTTTTCACTATTTCATCCATATCGACGGAGCGTCAAATATTATCGCTCTTACTTAAATCTGGCCAAATCTTCTTCCATACTCCTTTATAAGATCTTTCTGTTATCTCATTCCAAGAAAGGTGTGTATTTTCTACAGCATTTATGATATTGTAGTTTTTCCAAAATTCTCTTATTCATTGCTTCTCTTTTCCGTCTGTTTTATCAAACATCTGCTTTAATGTTCGTATTGAAATAAAATAGCGCTAAACCGAAACAGCGTTAAGCGGGGTTTTACTGTATGAGTAATATTACATTTTGTACAATTTAAAAGCAAAACAAAATTAGTTGTACTGTGATTGCTTCATGTTAATACTGACTACATTCTAATTTAAACACATTTAGTCGCATCGATAGTTATGCAAACCATTGAGTAATTTAGATGATTAGCTACACGTCTGTACCTAAAGTCTATTAAATAAATGTCATAAAAATCAGCTTTTTGATAAAGTTTTCATTTAAGAAAGGAAATAATAGACTTGTATTTTCGAAGCATTCCCGGATTATCTGCTGCTCAAAACTAGAAGATGTAAAAGAAAGTGCAAAAAAAGAATACTGTGTAGTGACTTTGATGTTGTCATCATCGACAAAATTACGATGAGAAATATGGTTAGCGGTATTATTCGATTGTTTTGCTTCTTGACAGGTCTTTAATAATAATAATAATAAGCCTTGCTCGACATCAATGATTTCCAGCAGACTTTTCCACCTTTCGCGCCGCAATGCTACGTCCTTTATATCAGTAATGTTGCGTATTCTTCTTCCTAGGGGCTGTGAAACGGTATTTACTTTATTTAACGTTGACCTTCTCCATGTTGTTTTTGGGTGACCTCTTCCTCTTCTAACTTGGGGGTTGTATACCAACGCCTGTTGACAAATTTCAGTAGGAGCCTTTTGAAGTGTATGGCCGATTCATTCAAATTTTCTTTTGCGAATTTCAAGGTTGACATCTCTAACATTTGTTCTGGTTAAAAGGTCTTGATTTGATATACTGTTTGGTCAAAAAATACGCAAAATTCTGCGGAGACAGTGGTTAACAGATACTCTCAGCTTGCTTTGTATGTTTTCCGTCACAAACCAAGTCTCGCAACCATAATGAAGAACTGAACGCATGCTTTAAAGATTTTTATCTTTGTGGGTAAACTAGTAGTATTATAGCTCCACACTTTACGAAGACATGTAAAAGCTCAGGGCTTTCTTTATTCGAGTTATAACATCTTGCGCTGTACCACCATTTTCAGACACAATACGTCCTAGATACTGAAATTCATTTACGAGTTCCATGGGGTCCGTTTCCAATTTCAAAGCTTCGTCAATTGTAGAACAAATTTAAAAATTTTATCTATGCTTTGTCTGTCAAAAATTTAAATTGAATTATAAAAAAAAATTTTTTTTATATAGATTTGTGTAGATACTGTTTCAAAAATACTTATTTACGAATTGAACTATATTTAGTTATGAATTATTAATAATATTAATAGCGATCAAATAAAAATTTTTCAGTTGATGTCCAAGATTGAAAATTAGTTTATCTGAAAAATTCGAAAATTGCGAAGCACTAAACATTACACGTCCGTCAACATATGTTTTATGAAAATTACATTAGAGATTGAGGTATGTAAATGAAGTTGAACATAAAGATGTACATATTTTTATATGCACTTTAAATTTGAAGAGATTCTTAGTCAGGCTAGTGGATACAGCAAAAAGAATTGCATGGGAGTAACTTTAATGGTACTTCCTTAATTGGGATTTGCTGGAACTTTACTTAAGAATCTATTAATCGTTTCGAAGTTATCAAGTAAGTAATCATTCAAAAACTGTTAACAATAATTTTATTTTCTATTACCCATAATTTACGTGCAAAAGG